AGATAGATAGATAGATAGATAGATAGATAGATGTAAGTATTTGATGTACAGGTCAAAGGTCAAAATCCAGTTTGATAGAAAGATAGATAGAGATAGGCAAGGCAAGGCAAGGCAAGTTTATTTGTATAGCACATTTCATACACAATGGTAATTCAAAGTGCTTTACATAAAAGAAAAGAAAAAAAATAATCACAACAATAAAACAAGGAATTTAAAACTTTGAAAATTATTTAAAAAATTGATTTAAGAGGTTTAAAATGAATTTAAGAAAACGATTATACATAGAATATAGTGCAATCAGTTCGGACATCGCACAGTGCTCATTCAATGAATGCACAGCTAAACAGATGAGTTTTGAGTCTGCATTTAAATGTGACTAATGTTTTAGCACATCTGATCTCTTCTGGAAGCTGATTCCAACTGCGGGCGGCATAATAACTAAAAGCAGACTCCCCTTGTTTTGTGTGAACCCTTGGTATTTCTAACTGACTTGATCCTAATGATCTGAGTGGTCTGTTAGGTTTATATTCAGTGAACATATCTGCTATGTATTTAGGTCCTAGGCCATTGAGTGATTTATAAACGAGTAAAAGTACTTTAAAATCAATCCTAAATATAACTGGAAGCCAGTGTAAGGACCTGAGGACTGGTGTAATATGCTCAGATTTTCTGGTTCTAGTCAGAATTCTGGCAGCAGCGTTCTGGATGAGCTGCAGCTGTCTAATGGTCTTCTTGGGAAGGCCGGTGAGGAGACCATTACAATAGTCCACCCTGCTGGTGATAAAGGCATGAACAAGTTTCTCCAAGTCTTGACTGGAAACAAAACATCTAATTCTTGCAATGTTTTTGAGATGATAGTATGCTGATTTAGTTACTGCTTTGACATGACTACTGAAACTAAGGTCTGTCTCCAGAATCACACCAAGATTCCTGACTTTATTTTTAGTTGTTAGACCCCTAGAGTCAAGGTATGCATTCACCTTGAGAACTTCATCTTTGTTTCCAAATGCAATGACTTCAGTTTTTTCCTTGTTTAACTGAAGAAAGTTCTCGCACATCCAACTGTTAATTTCATCAATGCATTGGCAGAGGGAGTCAATGGGGCTGTAGTCATTTGGAGATAAGGCTAGGTAAATCTGGGTATCATCTGCATAGCTGTGATAGGCGATTTGGTTCTTTCTCATTATTTGACTTAGTGGGAGCATATACAGGCTAAACAAGAGCGGTGCAAGAATTGAGCCTTGTGGGACTCCGCATGTCATGGACGTCCACTTAGACTTATGCTCTCCTATACTCACATAATAACCTCTCCCTTCTAAGTATGACCTGAACCATTTGAGTACCATCCCAGAAAGCCCGACCCAGTTTTCCAGTCTCTCTAGTAGTATGTTATGATCGACAGTGTCAAACGCAGCACTGAGATCTAGTAGTACCAGCACTGATATTTTGCCAGATTCAGAATTTAAGCGAATATCATTTATTATCTTAATGAGCGCTGTCTCTGTGCTGTGATGCGGTCGGAAACCAGATTGAAAATTGTTCAGGTATCCATTTGAGTTTAAGTATTTGTTCAGCTGATTAAAGACTACCTTTTCAATAATCTTTCCTATAAAAGGAAGGTTTGATATTGGTCTATAGTTGCTCAATATGGTGTTATTAAGATTGCTCTTTTTCAGAAGGGGTTTAACAACTGCAGTTTTCAGGGAGTTTGGAAATGTCCCAGAAAGAAGTGAGGCTACCACTTCTAAGAGATCTGCTTCCAAACAGTTAAGCACCCTTTTGAAAAAATATGTGGGAAGTGTGTCAAGATAGCAGGTTGACGATTTAAGGTGCTGTACTATTTCTTCCAAAATTTTGCTATCAATTTCTTCAAAAGCAGACATAGTATCTTGTTTTTGATATTGCGGTCGAATCTGTCTGACCTCTGCATAACTTGGGGATGTGCTAATCGCCTTCCTGATATTATTGATCGTCCCAGAAAAGAAGGAAGCAAACTCATTGCATTTGCTGTCAGAGAGCATTTCACTGGGAATCTGACTTGGGGGGTCTGTTAGTTTCTCAACAGTAGCAAAAAGAGTGCGAGTGTTGTTAAAATGACTGTGTTGATTTTCTCCAAGCTGATTTTTGTCTGCCAGTCTTCTTGCTGGCTTTCACAGGAGCAATGTCATCAATAACATTTTTAACATTTGAGTTAAAGGAATCAAGGAGAAAATCAACAGAGTCTGCAGAAATGCTTGGTGTTAGAGATATAGCCTCCATAAATAGCACACTAGTGTTTTCATTAATGCATCTCTTTCTGACAGAGACAGATCTAGATTCAGTGGTAACAGAGATCAATATATCAAAGAAAATACAGAAGTGATCAGATAGTGCTATGGCCTTAATAACAATGGATGAAATGTTTAGACCTCTACTGATGATTAAATTGATTACGATTGTGTGTGGATCCATGCACATGCTGAATCATTACTGCATCACATGCTGCAGTAAAATTTAAATAATAAAAAAGTATTATAGGACAGAACTTTCTATAATATTTATAACTATAGCAAATCTATTTATGTAATGCAGCAGGTAATTCTTTTATATGCTTGCTTGTATGTATTTTAAACGCCATTTAGGTGATTCATTCACCTTCACTCGCGCAGCGTGGGAGGAGTCTTGTACCTGTGCTCGTGTCCACCATGTTTGTGTGGTTTGGATGGCAACAAAACAATGGATTATTTACAAAGAGATACGGATGTATGGAGTCATTTCGATAAAACAATTCTGGTTGCGCATTTACATTTTTTTTACTAACAATATTTTACCAACGCAGGCACTTATAAGCTCATAAAGGAACTTGCTAAAAGTTAGCTTTGCGTGCGAGACTGCAGCGAACGTGGCTTTCTTGCTTTGCCCGAAAACGTAAGTTAATAAATGAACAAAATCTTTTTCATATTTGATCTGAGTTTTGTTATGTGGGATAAAGTGTTTACGCTGCAGTAAACTTTGACGAGCAACACTACAATCCGCAAACAGATGAGGAAGAGGAGGATGATGACAGCGCAGCCTATACAAGGAGAAAGGTTTGTATTTTTAGTTTTCACATTCTTATTTTTATGAATGCACTTACAATGAGCAAAGGTTGTTTTCATTCCATATTTATTAAAGGACGTGAGAGTGAAGATGATTTTTTGTAGCATGTATTAGAGAAGATCGTTTTCAAATAACCTAAACTAAATACATAAGCTAATAATAAGCTAGTTTCAGTGATTTTTATGACGGGAATGTACTGCAATCATATTAATATGCATCAGTATGTCTAAAATCATCTGCAATAGATCTGTCCTGCTTTTACAGTTGCTAAATGTGTAACTGACTACAACACAAACACAGCCTCACAGTTTATCACATTTGTTGCTACTTTAGTTGCTTCCTCACTCAGCATGTCGAGACACATGGGAATAACTGATTATGTCTCTTAACATGACACAAATTTATTTTTTCTAGTAAACAAGAGAAGTGTTTTCATCGCTGAAGAAATGGCAGACATTACTCCTTAGACACCTGTGAACACCAGCAGTGCCTGCAGTCCAAGAAAGTGGACATCATCTTTATTATACTTCTCTGACTGGACTAACAAGGAGCAGTTAGAGCCAATGAGAAAGTAAGTTCAAATAAATGTCTACATTGACCATTACACAATGTTATTTTCTGCAGTAACTGGGGGGAATCTTAACTGAAGAGACCTACTGACCAACAGCAAGCTTTAGATCTACTGAATGTGTATTTTTCAAGCATTTTATTACAGCGTTCACTGTTATGTTTGTGCACAGTGATGACTAGTGAAAAGTGTTTCTATTAATTTACTTAAAAGTATAGTTAACTCAGAAATCGGTCATAATTTACAAAACATTTTTCCAAACCTCTGACATTTGTTTTTCTGCAGAACTCAAAAGAAGATACTTTGAAGAATGCTGGTAATCAATACCAACACGTTTGTCCATATAGACAACATGAGGGGGAGTAAATGATTTTCATTTTTGGGTGAGCTCTCCCTTCAATTACCATTAGCTACACACTAAATATTAATAATGCTTGGCACAGCCACTTATTTTGCTGTCATTGCAGTTAGTGCTGTAAATAGTCTGTCAAACAACAGGTACATTGCTACAACATATATATTTAATTTAATTCAGTTTGGCACATTAAGTTAGACCTTTTAGTAATAGATACTTTTATATAATTTGCTCTTTACAGGTGCAAAAATTAAAGCTCCCAAACAAAGATATCACCGGATTAAGACATGAAAGACATGTTACATCACAACGACCATAAATCCTGAGTGATTTGAAAATGAGCAACAACCAAGGAACAGTAATCATCATTTCACTCAATACGATCCATGGTAATAGTTGTAAATTATTTGATAATTTAAAACAAAAAGTACAAAATGTGTTTAATTTCAAAACTTTGCCATTAACCATTGTGTTACAATAAGGTATCATAGTAAATGTTGATTGTTGAACTAACAATGAGCAATACATTTGTTACAATATGCATTCTTTGTCACTGTTAGTTAATAATAAATAAAACCGTTCTTTGTTAGTTCATGTTAGCTCAGATCCATTAAATAATGTTAACTGATATGACTTTTGTTTTTAATAATGTATTAGTAATTGTTGAAATTTACATTAAGGTTAATATTTGCTTTAGAAATATTTGCCATTGTTATTTCATGTTAGGTAGGTAACTAATGTTAACAAATGAAACCTTATTGTAAAGTGTTACCTGAGTGTTTATGTTTATACTTATTCAATTTTACAATCCAAGTATGTGCAAGTAAATGCAAGTGTAATTTTGCAAAATATTGTTTAATAGCTATGCACTTTCTGTATAACAACTTCTGTTTTTGTTGTTGTTTGGCTTTAATTGCATTGTTTTGTAAAAAAAAAAAATTGTAAATAAATTTTCTTCATGCCAACTTGATCAAGTGAGTTCTTTAAAATGGACTTTAAAATTGCATTCATCATAATGAGACATTTATAATTGTCACGGTGCTTAATGTGAGGAGCGAGGAACGTGGAGACGGAGAAATTCCAATAGAAACAGTCTTCATTTATCCAAACAAAGTAATACAGGGCAGGCAGGAACTCACACGTAGCACATCAGGAGACAAATAAGACCCGACAAGGAAACATGGGGCAGACTGCACTATAAATACTACACTTAACGAGGGATAATTAACAAACGCTGGTGAATCAAATGAAGCAATGGACAAGGGAGAAAACTAGGTCACGGAGCACATGGGGAGAAAAACACACACAGACAGGTCCATATCCCTGGGAGCCTCAGGTGGAGGACGGACCCCCCGGAGGAGGACGGCCAATAGAGTTCAGGGTGGAAATGACGGAGGGAGGAGCCAGGGAGGAGCCAGGAGGATCCAGGGCAGACCAGACAGAGGAAGGAGCCAGGGAGGAGACAGGAGGAACTTGGAGGAACTTTTCCACAACATTCTAATTTATTGAGATGCACCTGTAGTATCACTGTAATCCTCGACCATCAAAACATAGGGGTAGACATAACTTTTTCTGTGTTATCACGTTTGGTTCAGGAGATATAACACAAAATACATAATTTGGTTATGGAGGAAAGTAAAATGGCCGCCATGGCAACCAAAAGGTGTTTTTGTGATGGCTCCATTTCTGAAAGGAGGCCAGGCAGTGAGAGGTGTGCATGTTGCTTGACGTGAACTTAATTTACAGTTCATTACTGTTAAAAGGTGCTTCATGGTGTGTCTTTTTATTTTACTCCTTTAATGATCAGTGTTAAATGAACACTGCTCATTGTTCACCAGTGGTGGAAATGGCCAAAATGCACTGGGGGGACTCCAGCTTGCAAAGTACCAAAGACTATAGAATACCCAAGATGTATCACTCGTATAGTTTTGAATGGGGAAAAAAATCAAACTCTCAATATACCCTTCAGGTCATTTTTACCCATGAGGGGCACTTTTGTTACAGGTACGGAAGGAGAGTATGAGGTTAAATGTGTTCAATATCAGATTCCAGTGTGAACGAATGACAGTCCTGAACAGGCATGGAATTATAACGAATGTTGATATGACCATTCAGACTGCGGACGCATTGCAAAACATCTGACCTGAATAAGATTTAGGACCACATATGAAAGTGGCCCAAATCAGAATCGAAAAGATCAGATTCCATGTGGTTTGTGCTGCTCACACGGTCATGAAACTAAATGATCAGAATCACATATGAGCAAAAAAAATCGGATTTGGGACACATTTTCCTGCAGTGTGAATGTAGCCAAAGTAACAATGAAGCAGTGCTGCCTGCAGATAACGAGATAATTAAGTGATTAATTGATGATTGGCCATTCGTGATGGTACCTGCTGTTAACAACCAGAATCATGCTGTCAAAATAAATAAATAATTAAAAAACTTCCTGAAATGCATGGCAAACGTTTACCATTAATGGAAATGTCAAAGTCCATCAACATTTTTAGATTGAAAGAAAAAGAGAAGAGACAAGCACACTACAACTGCCTTATGCCCAGCATACACTGTATGACTGTGGGCTTTCCCAGATGAAAGATGACGATTGTGATACAATTGCAATGATTTCTCTTTGGTCATGGCTCCTAAACGGTGGTCCTACATTGGACTGTGAGAGAGGTGCAAAGATGGCCGTTGTCATGGTCTTGTGACCAAAAATAGCATGAGATAATTTTCTGGCAGTGTCAGAAATTTAGGATAACAATCTCACAGTGTTTCTGCTGGTACAACCTCCGTCTATTGACTAGCCAATAAAAATTCAACATGAAAGGATGTATTGATCAACACGACATGACGCTAGAGCATAAATGCTATGGAGGCGAAAGGAATGGTGGATTCCTGGAAATGGAAAGGTATATTTTTTTTATCTAGAGCCAGATGCGATTCATTCAAACTCATCCCATGTCCGTAAAACTCTAAACCCCCATACAGTATATTTTCTGTCCTTACATATGTATCTAAATGTAAAAAATAATAGCTTGATAAAACATCTGATCTTATATTTTAATATTCATATCAATTTGGTCTCAACTGATAATTTTTTTAATAAAAAAAATTCTTAGAAGCCAATGGCCTTTGGCTCTGAGGACCCAATATCCTGATTACTATTTAGATTTTTTTTTCCTTTTACCGGTGCCCAGATGGAAATGTGTAAGTATTCATATATATATATATATATAAATATATTCTCAACCTCCACTGGGAAGTAAATATAGGGACCTCTTTGAACTTTAATTGAATACCCCCGCTCTATTTGTTTAACACTTACACATGCTGATGATGTTTTATTCTTCTACAGCAGGGCTGGGAAACTTGGTCCTGGGGGGCGCAGTGATCCTCAAATCTGGCTCGCGAGATCCACTGTCCTGCAGAGTTTAGCTCCAACCCTAATCAAACACACCTACCTGTAGCTTTCTAGTGATAATGAAGACATTGGTTGCTTCTCAATATCCCTCTTCGTTTCCTCGCTCCTCTGTCCTCCATCCTACGACCCAGAAACCGATCGAGCTAAGCCATCTTATAGGACATCTCAATTGTCTAATTGCACTGCGAGGAGGCGAGAGTCGAAGAATGAGGAGGCTTCCTGAGGAGTCATGAGCGAGGATATCATTTGCGTGTATCCTTTGCGGAAGTGTTTTATCGACTAAACGTGACGCACGTATAAATTCTTCTCCCCCTTCACATCTGCACCAAGTGGTAACTATGGCAGAAAACACAAACACACATAAATGTGAGCATTAAGCATTAAGTTATTGTAAATGTGGTTTATGTTTTGACAGTGCCTTTAATTTTGATGTATAACGTGTACTTTTCAGCAAAGTTTTAATTACATTAATCTACGTCTCTCCATTTTAATGGATTATTGCTTTTAATTTTTAAATTAATGCCTCTTATATTGGTTAATAGAGAATGACTTTAATGTAGGACAGTTGCAGAATTATATCAAAGTACAAGAAAATGAAAGAAAATTAAACAAACTGTAATACTATCAACAAATAAAAAAGCAGTTAATAACTGGGAATAATTCATTGTTAATAATAACTGGTAATATTTTTAAAAAATATATACGGACAAAGGTTGAAACTATTACAGTATAAATAATTATCTCTAATGTTCAAGAATCCCGACATGCAAGCTAAATCCAGCAGTGTACAGTCATCATTAATTGACAACGCTATGAAGTGACGCTAAAGGGAGCGAGGATATATAATTTCACTTGATTCAATTCCTCCATCCTCACGTCTTTTCCTTGCATCCTTCCCTCGCATCCTGAAGAGGTGGAGCTAAGACTTGAGGAAAGTAAGCGAGGAAAGGAAACAAGGATGCACAAATAAGAATTGAGAAGCACCCATTGATTAGTTTGTTCAGGTGTGTGTAATTAGGGTTGGAGCTAAACTCTGCAGGACAGCGGCCCTCTAGGACCGAAGTTGCCCATCCCTGTTCTACAGTAACTTGCATCGTAGCTTACAATTTAAAGGGGTCATATGATGCTATTTTAAAGATCATTATTTGGTGTATTTGGTGTAACAGAATATGCTGACATGCTTTAATGTTCAAAAAACACATTATTTTTCAAATACTGTACATTATTGTAGGTCCTCTATGCCCCGCCTCTCTCAAACACGTTGTTTTCAACAAAGCCCCTCCTTCCGACAAGCGCAGTCTGCTCTGATTGGCCAGCTGACCCAGTGCACTGTGATTG